ACACCGATATACAGACAGCTTAGTAGTTAACAGAACAAAGATAGCGTAGAAATCGTTTGAGTGCTGTCGTCGCACTGTTCGATTTCATTCCAAATAGAAAACCATTATCATTCCTAACATTCAAAGATTTTTTTCATGTTCGATTCTCTGCACATGTTGGTGAATAAAACTTGGCATCGAGCCATCTGATACTTAATGGTAGCAGTTGCATATTAACGAAGGTGTTTTAAAATGTATTAGATCAGATGCCTCTCGTTATTAACTGCATGCAGATAATGGTTAGTTTTTTCCAAACGGGATACACCAGTACATTGGCACACGCCATTAACCGATGAAATTGGTTGCTGATGTTGTAATCAAAACGGGATTACAGGGACGTTGCCTGAAAGTAAAAGTGAGAGGCTTCAAGAGAACAAGTTTACGTTTCTTCGGAAGCTACCAGGATCCACAAAGGTATGTTAACAATTAGTCACCTGGGAACTCGGATGTTCTTTGTAAACCTTTTTGCGATACAGCCATTTAAACATTCTGTTGTTTGTCATGTTTGCTATCAACGCTATTACCATCATTTTGGCTGTACTTGTTCAATGGGCAAAGTACTATAAAATTATTTTTCCTTTTGGTCAATACCAAATATATGTCAAGGGAATTTGAGCAGTTTCCTTTGAAAATGTGCGCTTGGTTTCGGCTGAACAACAGCCAAGAAAAACAGGAAATTCGTTAATAATAAAACAGCTCCGTGTTCAAATTGGGCACTAGCAATTGGGAGCTAGCCTTGAAACAAGAGAGGGAAAGAGAAAGTTCTTTGCGTTTATTCAAGCAAATACCTTAATATATAATAAAGACACGTACAAGCAAATAAATAAATAAATAATAGAATTGTGAACATACCGTGAACAAGTTAAACTGAGGATTAAACAAGACAATAGCAGTGTTGAAGTTAAGTACACTGATGACGTAGGGACAGCAACATAACGTGCGTAATGCTGTGTCGTTTGCAAATGAATGTAATAGTTATTGTAATGTCTGTTTTGTTATGACGCGGGGCTAGGGGATTGAACCGCGGACCTTCCTCGGGGTGGGGAGCGGGGATGGCTCAAGGCTCGTTTGAGATGAATGGCATGACGGACTCCTCACAAAACTGGCACAAAATGGAGTAGCTGGGAACATGGCGAACTTCATAGACAGCTTCCTGCAAGACCCTGTTTAACATCATGATGAGTGGTCTTTTTTTATTATATCAACTCTCCTACCAAACTAAATTCGCTGATGACGGAGCAAAATGGGTAATATTTAAAAATCCGAAAAAAGACTCCAGTCAGCCTTGGACGGAGTAGATAAATGGTGCAATAAATTGGAGTTCACCCTTTTAAGTGAAAAAAGTGTGGGAGTTCTTTTAAAACGCAGGGGAAAGATGCTATGATACCCCGTGTCTCCATTAAAGGCAAACCATTCAAATTCGAAATCTCCGCAATATTTCTAATGGTGATCCTAGATCAACACCTTACCTGGCACAAACATATAAAAATGTAGAAAACAGATGTCAAAAAGACCTTAACGTATTACGGGCAATTTCAGGCACATCTTGGGGCGCATCGATTGACACTCAGCTGGACCTCTACAAATCACTTATCAGATAATAAAAAAACAAGATCTTAAGCCGCATCGACAGAATATAATAAAAAGAACTAATGTTGACCACAGGTGCAGCAACAGGTACTTCACTAGAGTGAGTGAGTGAGTTTGGTTTTACGCCGCTTTTAGCAATATTCCAGCAAATGGGCTTCACACATTGTACCCATGTCGGGCGGGAATCGAACCCGGGTCTTCGGCGTGACGAGCGAACGCTTTAACCACTTGGCTACCAGTCCACCCCGTACTTCACTAGAAACATTACAAGAAGAAACAGGAGAACACCCATTGAAACCAAGAAGAGAGCAGGCAATATTATCGTTCTGAGGCCGAACATCCCTTTGGTGAAAAAGATATGGCAAGACAAAAACAACCGAGATAAAGCGCTAGCTCGGAAAAATACATCACTAAAGCTATCTGGGATATTAGTACGAGAACTCATCCGAAGTCACAATTGTGATGACATTCAGCCACCAGAAAGTCACTACAAAGGGTTACACCCTCCCTGGACTTTAAAAACTCCCAAAGTTGACACTTCTTTAACATCAGAAGTCACTAAAAAAAACAACCCTACTGCGAACAATAGCTGTCACTAAAATTCAAACTACCTGGGACAGCTGGGCCCATATAGACACTGATGGATCCGAACATTCTGTCAACATCAGTGCTAGTTACGGGATCCATATCCACAGCTCCAAACCCCAAGCACATTCGGTTCGCCTGCTTGATGGTCAGTCAGTATTCACTGGTGAATTGGAAGCAATTCGGAACGGAACTTCCGGAAGCAAAGGCAGTCGTCCTATCAGACTCCCTAAGTGCACTTCAAGCCATAAGCGGCCGAAACTCTAACTCCAGGCCAAACACAGTCAACAATATTCTATACGAATATACAAAACTATTCGACCAAGGGCAACAGGTGGAGCTGGGTTGGATCCCCTTGGGATATTCGTTGAAATGAAAAGGCAGACACACTGGCGAAGCTGGCTCTAGACAAAGCGGGGATACAGCCCATTCCCTTTAGTAAACTAGAGATAAAAAGCAAAATCAAAGCCTCCACAGCCCAAAGATGGCAAGGCCGATAGGATGCATGTAAGATTGGCAGATGGCTATAGAAAAAAACAAAAATCCACCAAAAGCCATACTTATACTCAAATGAAATGAAAGTTAAAACTGCTATCTCACGCCTCAGACTCGGTCACAGGAAGCACTATGACAAGGTTTATCCATTTTGCAATCATCCTGATCCATTGCTCACTTGTTACTGGAATGTCAAGACCATGCCCAATAGCGAAGGTCGAACTAGCTCTATTTCTGAGATTGGACAGCTATTCGAACGTATATAAACAACCCTGAGCTGTCTGCAAAACATTAAAATACAATATCCCGGCCCGTTACCCTATTGTGTAGTTACATGGCTGTCTGGTTATGTGATATCTAGTTCCCGACTAAATCCACATTTACAGATGGCCATTCCTAACTAAGCCTTGTATGGCCAAATATTCTTAAGCTAATCTACATTTGTAACTGTATATTTACCTTGTAATGGTATCTAGTTTTGTAGTTATCGAGTGACGAAGCAGTCTATATATCTAGTTATCTATCATTACATTGCCCAGTCCCATAGCAAGCTAGTCAGTTTTCATCTGGTTATCACTAGATTGTCCAATACATATATACCGTACCTGAGCGATGCCAAAGAGTTATCAACAAACTATAGCTGCGGGGTATTTCCAGGGGTCCCAACGCCAAGTGTACATTCTATCAACAGATGAAAAGCTATTAGTTGATCTGGTTTTCTGGCTATTGACATATAGGAATTAGTTATTTAGCGGTATTGCTTGATCTACTGTTTTCCAACAATGAGAATGGATGAGTATAAGTCGTTGCCAAGGACACGTTCCATAAGTCATAAAGTGTACAATCGAGCCCTGGCAAGTCTAAAAAAAAATACGAGCAATATTTATGTTTATGTATGGATGCCAACATCTTAAGTACATAAAGTTGATATGCAGAGTTGAGTCTTTCGTCGTTACAAGGTCAATTTGGGTCAACCTTTGTCTGAATGAACAAAGGCTAAATATCCTGTACTCGTGCTATGTCAATGTCTAGAATATAGTCGATTATAGTCTGACTACATCACGAGCACGTGTTTACGGATCACTATCAAATAGTGATGGTACCGGCTCACGTGAAATGTGAGCGTATCCTGCCCCACCGGTGGCACCCCTCACAAACACATGCAAAGGCAAGTCAATTATTCACCTGAAAAGACGCTGGAACATAGTGTACAAATCTAAATAGGGAATTACATCTTTTATTTTGGTCACTGATGCGTCACATTTAGAATTGTCCTTCACATGTCTTCCTCTAACGCTTTTCGTGATGATACTGGCGTTGACAAGATATAACCCACTCATATTACAATATATTATTTACGACGTTCCATATGAGACACATGGAAACTCATGCGTGACTCAAATGTCTTGAAAATGAAATAACATCTCTCTCTCTTCGTCCCTTGAAACTAATTGCAGGCGCGTTGGGTTTAAATAATCAAACATGGTTCTCCGAGCTTACAGGCATTATGTTCAACCATATATTATTACAAAGCAATCAGTACAGTTACAGGTGACATATGCCTAAGAATGTATTCATGATATACAGGTGGCACATTATTCTAATGCGCCCAACTCACTTTTAGAGTTATGTCCCTTAGCCGTGCCCGCTTCGTCCTGATTATGATCCCCGGGTTGTCAGCTCTTTCAACGTGATCTTGGGGTTCACCAAAGGTGTAACGATGCGGCTTGTCCTTGTTTACTATAGAGTTATGCTCCTCAGTTCTGTATTGGCCTACTGAGCGTGGGTTCGAATCCAGATGGATCCGACATTAATTTCATCTGTGTTACTTTTGGGGCAACAATAGATTTCATTACCACCTACATTTGTAGCAACATATAAATGTAAAGGGCCGTGGAGTTTCTGTCACATTAGCAAAGCAGAGTTGGGTTCAACGCGTGTCAGATTAATGTGGGAAAAACTCCCCAAGTGATGCAGGTCCCAGATGTTTACCATAGAAAAGCATAGAAATATAATCACACACACGCGCGCGCGCACACGCATATGCACATGCACCCCACAAGGGTAGGTTATCTAAGGGAGACAACTCGACAGAGCGAAAGGCGGTGCCTCAAACGACTGGGCCAACCGTAACGGGAGCTAAAAATAATCTGATTAACATTGTTTGTTTCGATTTTTTCTATGTACATGTATTATATGTAATGACTTACTATTTGTATGACGTATCTTAATGGTGACTTACGAGTCAAGAATCAATCCCAAGTATGTTTGTTTCAGCAGTCTATGCGAGAAGCTGCCACGATCAATCGCTATGTCAGCCGCGGAAAAACACATAATAGGTAGTCGAGCAATCAAAGACACCAGTCTCAAGAGCAACTGATAGATTAGCACAGTGTATGCTACAGGTGCGCTCAGCCATCACAAATTGTGTATCTACAACAGGGAAGCTGTGAGCTGTGAGCTGTGAGCCGACACAGTAAAATCCTCTCTGAGACTTAATTTGATATATGACGGAGTTGGTCTGACTGGTGTGTCTTGTCACCAGTCGATGTCTCAGTGGGCGCCTCTCTGTTGCTGGTACTAATTGAAACTTCAAATTGTTGTGCGGTGGTTCAAGGACAACATGGACAAGAAGAACGGAATCATAAAAGCTGAGAAGTACGACTCTTCACCTACGAAAGGAAAAGTTAAACTGAACGTTGGAGGTACCGTGTTCTTCACCACAAAGGAGACTTTAAACCAACACCCAGGAACACTTCTTTCCCAGTTGTGTTACTCATCTTCCTTTTACGACAAGGTCAACGGGGAATACTACTTTGATAGAGATCCCATTTCCTTCGCCTGCATCCTCAACTTCTATCGTACATCAGAGCTGCACCTCCCCACCAATCTCTGTGGCAATTCCTTGAGAAGGGAGCTGACGTTTTGGCAGGTGGATGAGAACAATGTTTCTGAATGCTGCTGGAAACTCCTCCATGAGACTGACCAAGGGAAGGCGGTCATCGACACCCTCAACACTAAGCTGAAAGATGACGACATGATTACAGAAGCGGCAGAGTCCTCTTGGAAGATATGGCAGAAACGGATCTATCTCTTCCTGGACAAACCTAATTCCTCCAAAGCAGCAAAGGTAATAAATACAACTTATCTTGTGTACAGAGATGTTCCATAGTCCAGACTGTTCACATTCCAAAGAAAGCGCCCGCAATGTTATTGTATTTAAAAACGAATCATTGGTATAAGTAGTATGTTCCCGGGTTTACCGTCCCGGAGACAGTTTTCCTGATTATCGGAGTTCCCGAACTGTCGAGTATTTCCGGAATAATAGGGTGTCGCTGTATTTATGATAAATCAATATTAGATAAATATTGATGCTAACCTACCTGTACCAAAAGGTCGAAGGTTTTTATGTAAATTATTGCAAAATTATAAGCTTTCCTTTTACTAGTATATTGTTTTATTTTCGAACAAAGACATTGATTAGCTGAACAATCTCCTCATCCCTATGTTGCAATTGTAGTTACAATCAGGAAACACAGGCCCCAGCAGAGTTGGTAAAAAATGTTTCTCATACGCTGTTTGTGACCATTAATATTTCAGTACGTGATTAATATATCATAATAATAGTATTGAGAAGAGATACAGGTTATTTTAATGTTTGCACAAAACAATTTCAAGGGAGGTACAGGTTAATATGCTGCCTTAAATAAGCCAAGAGAGGGAAAGGCTAAACAACCAACTCAACAAGCCTAATAAAGAGGTAGGACAGGATAATAAACTGCCTAGTAGACAGGGGCAAGTTACACAACTGCCTTAACTAGCGTAGTTAAGAGGAGGGACAGGTTAATAATCCACCCTAATAAGCCAAGAGAAGGACTTGTTAATATACCGCCTAGTAGAGAAAGAGAGGTTGAGGTTAACACATTACCTTAACAAGCATATTAGCGAGGGCATAATTACTATGTATCGAATGGGCACAGTGTTACCTGGCTGAGAGTGTATCCTTAAAGTGTGTCTCTACTGCTGGTCTGCTGCAGATTCGGCTGTTTGCAGACTACAGTGGTATGGGAAGGTTGATTGATAAGTTCCGGGAGATTGCCTGACAGTGAAATGTTTTGTTGTGGACACTACATGATGTCATAGAGGAACATCCACAGGTAAACTGTTTTGTATTTAGATTAGCAAATTATTTCACTTGTTTCAAGTCAGTAAAGTAAGCAGAGTGAGTGAGTGAGTTAGTATGGTTTTACGCAGTATTCCAGCAATATCACGGCGGGGGACACCAGAAATGGGCTTCACACATTGTACCCAAGTCGGGAATCAACCCGGGTCTTCGGCGTGACGCTCGGACGCTTAACCACTAGGCTACCCGACCGCCCCGTAAAGTAAGCAGAGGTGACATTTGGAAACATGGGCAAACGTGAGTAAAAAAGGGCGGCTTGACACCAAACGCCATATTTGAAGATATGAGTACACCAGAGAAGGATCCCCCTTCCAATGCCACTGTAAAGAGGTGGACAGCAGAGTGTAAGCATGGCAGGGAGAGCCTTGGGCATGACCCCCGCCTCGGAAGGCCTGAAAACTGTGGACGCATCACCACCAAACAATGCAAAGACTATCCTATCAGCTGGAAAGGTTATGGAATCCTTGTTCTGGGATGCAGAGGGTGTCATCATTGCGGACTATCTTCCAAAAGGCCAGACAATAATGGAGGCATATAATGCTGCTCTTTTGACGCAACTACAGGATGTAATTAAGACTGATAAGCGTTGGAAGCTGAGAAAAGGTGTGGTCTTCCATCCGGACAATGAGCCAGTGTACAATCAGACATTGCCACGGCTACAATCCACGAGTATGCACTTGAAATCCTTCAGCACCCAATTTATTCTCCTGATCTGGCTCTGTCGAATTTCGTCTGTTCCCACACCTGAGGAAACCTTAAGGGAAACCCATTAGGACTCGAACGATGACGTCATAGCAGCTGTGGAGAACCTTTTAGACAGCCAAGGAAAGGACTTCAACGAAACTGGAATCAAATCCCCCCAACATTGTTAGCAAAGTTGTATCAATGTGAAAGGGGATTGTGTTGAAAAATGTAAATGTATACTCTGCAAAACAAGAAACGCAAAAGATGTAAAATCGTAAATAACTGACAGCGTGTTGCCGACATCCATAAAAAAATAATACCAAAAATGAATTGGTCATTTCTGCATGGATTGGGATTGAGTTGTGTGCTGCAGAAATTTGGTGAAAAGAAGGGAAAATCGCAAAAACACAACCACGTGAGAGCCTTGCGCCGAAACACACCAACATGACATGCACTTGCAACACCACTTGTTGGGTTATATAAATGTTGGGTTTTCATTTACATGCCATCACAATCTTGTGAACAGCAAAACATGCAACGACTGACGAAAGCCCAACGCAACAACACAATCGGTCGACTGCAAACAGTAGAATCATCTTCAGCTGTAGCCAGGTTTTTCCATGTAGCACCAAGCACATTTACAAGACTGTGGAAGCGTTACCAGACACACGGAACAACACGTGACCTTCCCAGATCCGGTCGACCAAGTATCACTAATAGAGCACCGGACAGATTCATACTGCTACGCCACTTAAGTGTGTGTATTCGCGCAAGACGACCAGTTCGAAGTGTCATTTTGACGGACTTGCATCGATCGTCGGCTGCGACGTCAATGGTGTCAAGGTCCCAGTTTAGTGAAGAGTCACGTTTTATGCTTCGCCGTGCGGATGGTAGACGTCGTGTTTACATGGCGTCGCGGGGAACACCCGACCTCATACGGCAAGACTGACAACAGACTTTTTCAGGAATCACAACATCCAGGTCCTGCCATGACCCTCCAGGTCTCCAGATTAAAACCCAATCGTATATTTATGAGATGCACTGGATCAACGACTGCGAGCACGTCAGCAACACCAACAGAACCTCCGACAGTTGGCACAAACAGGGCAGGAAGAGCGGGTCACAATTCTAGGTCTGGTTGTTTTCATGGGACGACGATGCCAGTCATATATTTGGCTCTTATGGTCGCCATACAAGATCTTGAGAACAGATGGCCTTCATCTTGAAAACCTACTGTTCAATATATTATCAAGTGTTGATTAGTTATATGTTGTATAAATTATACATCTAAAAATCACTTTTGCGTTTCTTTCTCCGCAGAGTATACTTAGGTCAAGTCGTTCTACCTGAGGCTCAGAACTTATAAATCAACCCTCGTAACGGGACCATAACTGGAATAGTTCGTATTATTGCTGACTGTAATATAGAATTTACTGAATTTTTAAGTCCCACTTCCTGGGAGGTTTTTTCCCATACTGTAAATTCTCAATTTCATTTCCTCTGTAGGCATCAGGCTTTTATTTTCATGTCACACATCAGTACAAAATCTTGTAGATATATCGAGATATTTAGGAGATAAACATGTGTGCTAGGGTACCTGTTCATTCAATGTAGAACCGAAGACGCGGCGTAATGTTTCAAATGTTGGATTACTGGTGGCAATGCTAATGTCTGAAACCTGAAGCCTGATTATATTATTTCCCTTTAGCATAGTATACTTTCTTTTCAATATATGGATGTGTTCACCAACATGCAAAAGCTTTTTAAAAGAACACAATCCATATCGATTAACTTACACTTTGTTAAGCAGTCATTCAGTCATTTAGCACTCTGAAACGGTGTAGATTCTCACTCAATCATTGAGTCCTGTTCTTTATCCCCTGACAGTCCTCAATTTTTGAATGAACTAATTAACCTGCCAGAAAACGTCGAGGCACGAGTGTCATATTGGTATAGTCGGAATTCGCTTTGTAGAGTTAAGTTTCTTATTAAGAAGCTCGGGGCACGAATTGCTTATTAGTCGGAGTGAGTGAGTGAGTATGGTTTTTTACGCCGCTTTTAGCAATATTCCAGCAAATTCACGGCGGGGGACACCAGAAATGGGCTTCACACATTGTACCCATGTCGGGAATCGAACCCGGGTCTTCGGCGTGACGAGCTAACGCTTTAACCACTAGGCTACCCGACCGCCATTATTAGTCGTAATTCACTTTGTAGAGTTAAGTTTCTCAATCAGAATCTCGGGGCACGAATGGCTTATTAGTCGGAATTCACTTTGTAGAGTTAAGTTTCTCAATCAGAATCTCGGGGCACGAATGGCTTATTAGTCGGAATTCACTTTGTAGAGTTAAGTTTCTCAATCAGAATCTCGGGGCACGAATGGCTTCTTAGTCGGAAATCACTTTGTAGAGTTAAGTTTCTCAATCAGAAACTCGGGGCACGAATGGCTTATTAGTCGGAATTCACTTTGTAGAGTTAAGTTTCTCAATCAGAAACTCGGGGCACGAATGGCTTATTAGTCGGAATTCACTTTGTAGAGTTAAGTTTCTCAATCAGAATCTCGGGGCACGAATGGCTTATTAGTCGGAATTCACTTTGTAGAGTTAAGTTTCTCAATCAGAATCTCGGGGCACGAATGGCTTATTAGTCGGAATTCACTTTGTAGAGTTGAGGCTCTGTATCAGAATCCGATGACAGCGGGTGCCAAATCCCACAATTGACCACCTTATGATCCTTGGTGCATCTGTCAACAACGTATCTGTTGGGGTTTAACAAGGGTTTAACATCTACGATTTACACACCGTGAGATAACCGAAATCCTGCACTACGTAATGATACACCCAACTCACTCACTGGCAGAATATAAAATCTAGTAGACTAATTTCTTTCTTGGTTATTAGGACAAAATGCAAGAGGCAAAATCAAATGTTAAATACCTTGCCAATATTCGTTCAATGTTAACTTCGTAAAATAAACGGTTCAAATAAAAGTTCATTCATACAAACTACTAACAGAAACAATACCAGAATTAGACACACGGGGAAGAAGTAGCACACACGATGCCCTAGGTCCGGTCGACCTCAAGATGCCTTGTCAGGAACTCATTACGGCTGACCCATGTGGACACTCCAGCATATCGCTGACACTATTGGGATCAGTTCCGGGCCAGGAGAGTCCATCTCAATTGACACACTCCACATGAGCGAGGTGTCCACGTGATGGGTACACGGAATCTTGACACCAGAGTAGACGCTGTAGTATGAACATACACAGAGACATTTTGAATAATTTGGATGCGAATTGTAACCTAGGGCGAGAGCGACACAGCTCAACCCATGACCTGCAAAACGTGCAGGTTGTTTGTTTGTTTGTAGTATTCCATATATATGACGGCGGTCTGTAAATAATCTAGCCTGGTCCAGACAATCCAGCGACTGACATCATGAGCATCGATCTATGCAATCGGGATACGATGACATGCATTATCGAAGTCAACGGGCCTGATAACCCGATCCCGTTAGGCATGGATTGCTGAAGACCAGTTCTAACCCGGATCTTCACGGGTCTGCAGTGAGTGAGTTAGGTTTAACCCTGCTTTGAACAGTGGGTATCTCACGCCGTGTCAGGCTGATGTGGGAGGAACGATCCATGTGAAGTACGTCGGGGGCGTGTTGATAAAAAACATGGCTGCTGACATTCCAAAGGATCGTACTCGATGTGATTTGGGAGTAGAATCAGTGGATTCTTGCGGGACTAAATGAAACACCTCGCTCTTATATAGCACAGATTACAAGCACAGAATGCCAATGGAGATGAGAGTTTGGGGACGTTATTGACTGTTATGGATAATATTCATAGAATCTAAGCATCTATAACAACATTAACTTGATAACTGTATTTACAAAGATACTCACTATCTAACCATGACGGCACTATGCGTGGATCGCCCTTGCGGTGATGCACGTGACAAATGTGAGATTGGTTACAAAAATGGTGATATTGGTTACAAAATGCCTGTCCCTGGCAAGTACACAATTCATATTGGACCAACTCAAGCGTGTAATAATCACTTTAGTATGATAGAACCTGTCCATACTGACGGGGGCCTACTATGAGCAAAAACTAGCCCTGAAATTGAAATACTGATACTAGTCGTCCATCTGATTGTGTCTTTTACAAACTACTTGTAATATGATTGCGAAAAAACCTTCCAATGCTGCCCTGCAAGTCAAAACACGGAATCCAGTGACGACAATAAATCAATGGTATCAAGGTCGGATGTGACATTTCCAGATTATGAATATCCACATTTCGAGAATATTACCATTTGACATAATTATCAGCGTTTGAACAAATTCATATGTTTTGTCTTACCATGCAACGTGTTGCGTATGTTTAGGAAAGAATTCACATGAAAAAACACTTGATGATAAACATCCGGTTCCAAGGATGGATTATAGGAAGAATGGGCAGAGTCAAGTGAACTAGATGACGGTCTCTCAAGGCCCACGTAAACTAATGAAATATGTCTTTCATTTCAACTTAATCATTAGAACAAGTATTTGTTTATGCAAGAAATCCCTAACGATTTCTCTGTCTTTGTTAGCGTCTGTGAAGATTTTCACAAATGATATCAACTATCGCAGGCCACAGAAGTTGGGAAGGTAAAAACCCTACTCGCCAGGAGACACACTATTCCTAAAAGACATCAGTTAAAGAATATGGAACATAATGCGTTCTGTCATCCTTGAATGGAACTTGGAGTCAGAACATGTGTATCCTTGGTTCTATGTAAACAAATATGTATTGCACTGTCAGCTTACAAACACAATCATTTCTACCTGTATACATGCAGTGCCGGTCTTATACCTCTTTGTCTTTCATTTGCAAAACAGCCTCAGATTCTGTCATCGCCTGGATTATGATATTAAAGAATGACTATACTCAGATCAAAACTCACTTTTGTTATCTGTTAATTCAAAAATAAGGATGTGCATCATTCAAGTAGTTAAATGATACATTTTCGATTTTATTTTATACGATTGATACAATGTTAGATTTTCTCAAAAACTAATATAATGTGTGGCCCAAATGTATAATGCAAACTCTTGCAAACGTTAAACCGAACTGGACTAAATTTATGTGTGCGTAACACATGGTTTATTGTCTACCGGCTTATGCTTATGCTTATGATTCTTGAATAAAGAAGAAATTGTCTGGCACAAATATTACATTATCTAGTCGCGGTCCCTAACGATTAATCGAGATGTAACGATATTATCATACAATACACTCATATTTTTCACTCTTAATCTTAATATTTTGCTGTTTGTATGTCATGGAAATAAGATTGAAGACACCCCGGACCAGATTCTGCGTAAGCACCAGTTAATGAGTCGTCCCCACCGGTATTGCAATATGTTTCACATCGGCACAAATGGATCGGGATGCATATCACACATGATAGAAATTACACCAATAACAAGGTCCTTGTTTAAAGTAGTGGCCACTTAATAGTAGTGGTCAAATAAAGGAGGGCAATCAATAAGTCTAGAACTCTGGGGCGGAAAACAATGACAATGTTGAACATATAGTCGAGAAAAGTAGACGCTTAATTATAAATTCTATACAAGATCATGAATTTATCGTTTTTCTACTGAATGTGGAGAAACTAACATCCAACTAAAACATATACAAGTGTTAATTTTATTGAGAAAAACGTTTGTCTTTCAGATATGGAATTACATCTTCTTGCTGTTCATAATCGCCTCTGCAATCATCTACTGCGTGGAGACTGTTCCGGAGGCGAGGGTACTTCGGGCACAGAACGGTAAGCAGAGGATCGGCCAGACAATGCTGGAGCGGCTGGTCACTGACAAGGACAACATCAAACTGAAAATGATCATCGAATCGGAACCACATCCCATCATGTACTATGTGGACATCGTGTGTCTCTCTGTCTTCACCCTGGAGCTCATCATCCACTTCATCACTTACCCCAAGAAGGCTAGGTTCTTCAGAAAGTTTCTAAACTGGATCGACATCATTACAGTGTCCATGGGATGGGTCGTGTTCTTTATGGAGAGAGGTTTTCATGAGGGAATATTAGTTCTCTCACTGGAGCTGTACATCGCCTATCTAATGCTCAAGAGTCTGTACATATTGAGATTGTTCCGATTCTTCCGCTTGGCTGAGCGTTTCACGGGTCTCAAGGTCATGATGTTAGCCGTCAAATCCAGCCTGACTGAACTCTCGCTGCTGCTCTTTTCGATCATGGTTCTAGCCACGATGTTTGGGTCGTTTGAGTTCTACTGTGAGTTCGACAACAACCACTTCGATACAATCCCAATCTCCATCTGGTGGGCACTGGTTACCATGACAACCGTGGGCTACGGCGACTACTACCCAACCTCCTACTGTGGGCGTGGCATGGGAACGATGTGTGCCCTGAGTGGCCTCCTCATCCTTGCCATGCCCATTGCTGTCATAGCAACCAACTTCAATGAGTACTATTCCAGGAACCAGTGTCGGGAGAAGAAGAAGAAGAAACATGGATGGGCCGAGGGCATGGGGCAAGTTGGAATAACGTTTGTTAAGAAGATTTGAAGCCACGAAGTGTGTATTCAAAGGAAGGATTGGCTACGATAAAAAAAGGACACTTCTGTAATGCGTACCGATCATTTTCAGATGACAGTCTTCACGTGACTTTTCTAATCCACTAAGTGGATATTGCCTAATGATATCTGTCTGTTATTGCCCTGTGCATGTCTGTGTGTTATTGTCCAGTGATGTCTGTCTGCAGCTGCTATTGCCCTGTGCATGTCTATCTGTTATTGCCCTGTGCTTGTCTATGTGACAATGTACATTATAGCTAAAATGTATAGAATTATCATTAAACCGCCCGCATGTTATCAGAAATGAGCGAGCCACTGTAACTTGATAATGCCCTCATATTGCTTGACAAAGGGCCATTATCACGCCCGTTGTAATGTGACGTCATAGGATTAGGTGACGTCACGTTCACTATTGACGTCATCAGGTTTGTTCTTTAACGTTTCCATATTTGTAAAAGTGAGACAGTGACATTCGTGTTGATTGCACTAAATGTTTCAAAACCCACAATTGTTTTTTATTGTCATTTGATAACAAATTCTATCCATTTTAGCTATAATAACGGTAAAGCTATTTTTCAGGGCATTATCATTTACAGAAGCCCTAGGTCTTTTCAACTGTTTATGGAAGACCTCGGGCTTCTACAAATGATAACCCCCTGAAAAATAGCGTTACCCTTATAATGATGTATGTCTGTTTTTGTCCAGTTCATGTCTGCCTGCTTTTGCACAGTGATTACTGCCTGTTATCGCCCGGTGTCTGTCTGCAACGTTGGAAGTTGTTGCTGTATGTTATTGACCTGTGCACCAGTTGTTGTTGTTGTTGTTGTTGAAAAACGTGAACATAGTATGACATACATTAATATGAGGTGATAACAACTAAACCTGGACTACATAGTAATAAAACCGTGCCAAATTGTTAAGTAAACAATAAAAGCATTAGAAACAGAATGTTAACAGTAATATCGTTCTCATAAACCAGACTGTCAATCTTATACAGGGGAGTCATTTGACAAAGTGCGGGCAGAACCATTATACCAAAGTACAATTTGGTAAATTAATTGAACTTACCCCCAACATAACATCGCAGACAAATAGGCCGCATGTTTTGTCCTGTCAAGCTGGTAATTTTAGTATCGTAAAAAGAGATAAGCGAATGCTCCTGTTACTTTGAGCTTGATTATTTCGTTCACTCTTTTTGAAACCTGTGTTGTAGATTCGTATACGTTTTGTAAGTGTTTTATTTGTGAGTATTATATGAAAATCGGTATTCATGAATTAGATGTTTAAATTGCACTAATAATGTCAGAATGGTATTCTATCCTAGATTAAATATAGTTTGTGCCGCTGGAGGCATGGGAGGCCCGTGGCCTAAGACGCCGCAACCATCTGTGCAAAGTTGTACCCTGCCCCGAGTTGAAAGCTCTGAACCAGTGGGGGTTCATCATTTTGGTCACGGGTAGAAGTTTACAATATTATAACCCGACAGCAATTCCTACAAATACTCTCTATGAATCAGTGTCGGTAGAGCTGCTCGAACCTCCAGATTAGGCCTCGGGTTTGTGTGGGAAAGAGAAAAGTGTCGTTTTTGCGAACAGCCTGGCACACAGTCACTCACGGTCCTCGATTAATTACCAGCCAATGCACACAGATCAGCTGACCGCGTTAAATGCCATGAACGTTTTGAAGAATCCGCTGTGGTTTGCTATAGAATTAAAGATGGCGTCTATCTTGTTCGCCACATTTCCGAATGATATCTGACACGAAACATGTGTAGTAAATGTGAAATGTGCTTCCGTGCTTACCCGTTCTCTTATTTATTGCCTTCAGTGAAATCCCATGATGACACTGACATGTGAAGTGGTGTCAACAGCCTGAGGGACACTGCTAATATCTTTCATGTGAATCGTATCTCTTCCGATCGTTTAACCATGAATACGAAGTGAACGACTTTATTATTAACAAATTATGAAAAACAAGTAGACAAAAAATATTTCGCAGGAATTTATAATAGATATTTCTACTAGTACTTGCACAATTCCATTTCTATGTGATATTATTAAATAGACGTAAATATTCAACTGGTAAGCATAAGTATTTATATGTATGCCGTGTCAAGTAAAAAACAATAATTTTGGGATAAATGTCCATGAAATCGGATCAAATTGATGCAGATGATTTACGATATCAATTATCCCAGGGGTAAAACATATTCAATTTTCAGATATTTGCACAGTAAGCACATATCACATTTCAGTTTTTCTAGGCATTGATTGGCTGATTGTGAAACCTGACCTTTACGGGACTACTTTCGCTACATTCATTCGTTCATATTTCGATTATAAGAAGACCGTTTTCGTTTACGCTGAATATGAAAATTTGTTATTTTATTATCAAATGTTGAAGCACTTTAGCAGAAAAACAATATCTTATATCAATATGCATAATTATGCGAAAGTGTGCCCGTTCAGGATGACGGTAGGATTTGGGATGAGCGTACACAGTAGGACTATTTCCTGTCGACTGAGATAATGCACGCCAGCAACGAGGTCGAAGGTCACTAGTGATCGACAATGAACATTAAACACCACATAAAACATTAAAGGGACAAGACGTCGACGTCGACCGTTCTGAAGCTTTGTTTGTAGACAAAAGCCGATACGATAACACCCGACCACCACTTCCGACTCTGCTGGCGTTATTCCGCGTTCCCTGCTCAAGTGACCACACCGCGAGGGGGTGACTTATCATGTGACAAGACGTTTCTCTAGTTTGTAAACAAGCACACCTATTGATGCAAACCTTTCGTAGCTCTTAACATATTATTTGGCATATTCTTTAAGACATACTACTACAACTGCGACAGTGACGTGAGTGACAACACAGTTTTACATATCAAATACGACAGCTCTCATAGAGCTTCGAGGACAGCTGGACCGCCTCCCTGGTCTCGCTGTAGAGCGTCCGCCCGGAGAGCACATCTAGTCTTATATGTACTTGTGCTTAGTTCATAGGGCGAAATTAACAATCATTTACGATCAGTTAATACTCTTAAATGAGCGTGTTCCCATTTACGATAACGTTCTCTGCATTGTTAAAAAACTAACGCCGTCTTTCAGTTTGCCAACGACATATACTTTTGTGGTTTAACTTAACTGGAGAAGATATGAAAGTGAAACTTTGTATACGGCGCCATGGCACCACTGACTTCCGGTGGTTAGGTCAACAACATGTGTAACCCTGACCTTTGTCTCAATTGAATTGTATGTTTATTCCTCTCCATATAACGTCTGTTGTAATAAACAGAATATAACACTCGCCTTTATTTGATACCAAGTTTATATCTCTCGTGAAATAATTTTCAAACTGAACATGATTTCACTCGAGACATAAACTTGATATCAAATTGAAGCTCGTGTAATATCCTATAAATATGCAAATCTGCTTAAAAAGTATGTTATTTCCTTTTTTCCATGAATCAGGTGTGTTGTCTGAGGATATAACGGTACGTATAAGGACATCAAGTTTCCGAGCAATCTTATTTGGAATGTGTATTACATGCAAAGTTAAGATTCCACTACTCCTGGCCCGGCCGCGTCATACCAAACGACATTAAAAGATGGTACTTGCTGTTACCCTGTCTGGCGCTCGGCATTGAGGAGCTTAAACAAAGACTGGTCGGCTCGGAGTGAGTTTACTGTGTCTGAGTGGGGTATGCACGTCGCTATGTAAACGCAATTATCTTGAATGCGACATTAAATCCCATTTCAACTCACCTCCATTACCACATGCGCGCATGTTAATCTGGACAATCTCACTTTGACGAACGAGCTTTTACTGTGTGTGCATGTGTGTCGAAGTTCGTTTGTCTACTCTGCTATTGTATTTACTGTTTGTGATAAAGAAATTGATTCCATTAGTAAAGTGTATAAATGTTTCTTATTTAACACATCACATCGCAATACTTTTCCTCTATCAGGATGGCCTGTACATAATCGAGTCTGAATCAGACAAAGTATTTTCAAGGAACATGATGTAATCATGATCGTTTTTTGCTAGGTTATTAACGAATTGTTGTATCTCATGATCGATGCAGAACTATTACGATAAACACAACTCGAACATTTGTATACTCGATGCGTCCCTTGTGTTATTATTTTGTAGGTCAACTGTTGTTACATAGTTTCATTTGTTTATTACAGGTTCGCTCTGTATGACAAGTTTCATATTAACATAACAACAAATATTCTGAACAATTTGTAAGCAAGCCGACAAAAGTCGGAACATAATAATTTCTAGTTGCATTTTATCCAATATGTTCACAGAGTATGTCAGAGAAATATCATTTTCTGTTAATGTCACTGAGAAATATAATATTGTTTAATGCTGAATGGTTAATCAAAGCCTATATGTTCTAGTGATATGTTTGTTCACGAAGTGACCCTTGGGAACGTGACTTCATACCAGTGTATCGTTTCTGTTAATTAACGTTGGGGTCATTAAATGCTGATGACGTCACCTAAGTTTTCATTTCACGTCGTTGGGCATCATATCAAATTAGCTGATGCCATTATGATAATTTGCAAAACCATACGTTTCTTTATTTCGTACAAAACAAATATATACAAAACGATATATTTCTACAAGGGACAAAACACCACCGGAAAAGATCCCGCTCAGAAAATAAATGCCAGATCTAACATTGCTAGGCTTTAAAACTAGGTTTGAAATCTGCTTCTCGTCCCACCAGCTGGGAAGGCTATTTGAAGATGTATTAAAAAATATCATGTATCTTATTACTGTTTTCCTACATAAGATATGAAACCACATACTGTAGTGAATCATTCAAAACAAGATGGAACTGTTGGCAAGCACTAGACTGGTTTTCAGGAAAATGTATAAACGCGATGTCATTTCGTAATATAAGCACGCATTGAGTACTTTCCCTTCTGATTATATTACTTAAGAGCATTCAAAGTTTGTGAGATCATGACTTCCATCAACGACGACGATAATTGCAAACTTGTCAGTCCTTAAACTTTTAAATTTGAACGAATTTGCTGTGGAATTTGTGAAAATATCATCTATATTACGTATTGTACCCAGATATATGCTTGCACTTTTTTTTATCATGACCGATAGTTATATTTTCGTCTCCTCAAAAAACATTGGTTTTTTTTATATCCCATAAGAAAGGTATATTTTTGGCGTCGAATGTACAAAATACGAGGGTGTAGTTTACCGTTGATTCTCGATGCGCCCTGTTACATTCAGCAAATATGAACAACCAAGTCGGAATCAAGGTGTGTAAATAGCTTTCATTACTATGTGCTGATACTATGTCAGTTACAGCATGACTTATAG